AAATGTGCAGAGCATGGTATAATCCTTGGAAGAGATAAATGTGTTTATGCTAAACAAGAAATTGAGTTTCTAGGATTGGAAATTAAAGCAGGACAAATAATATTGCAAAAACATAATCTAGAAAAGATTGAAAAATTTCCCAATAAAATTGAAGATAGAAAACAGCTGGAAAGATTTCTAGGATGTTTAACCTATGCTTCTGATTTTATAGAAAATCTTGCTTTATTAAGAAAGCCATTACAACAAAAACTCAAGAAAGAAATAACTTGGAACCGGAAGGAAAGTGATTCCAAAATTGTTCAAGATTTAAAAGCTATGTGTAAAGATCTTCCTGTACTAACACTACCTACTAGTGAAGATAGTTTAATCCTTGAAACAGATGCTAGTAATAAGCACTGGAGTGCTGTGTTAAAAATAAAAGAAGGAGAAAGACTTTACAGATATAGCAGTGGAAGTTTTAACAAAGCCGAGTTAAACTATCCTACAATGCAAAAGGAAATCCTTGCAGTTATTAGAGGGATCGAAAAGTATTTAATCTTCTTAGCCCCTAAACAGTTCTTAATAAGAACAGATTGCAAAGGCATACTCGATTTTGTTAAAAAGAATTTGTCTAACATGCAAGCGCAAGGGAGACTCCTGCGTTGGCAATTATGGCTTAACCAATTCTCTTTTGTTGTTGAACATATACAGGGAACAAAGAATTCATTGGCAGACAGCTTGACCAGAGAATTAGCTAATGTCGTCCAAGAAGCTCAAGACTACACAAAATCCTCCTGCATACCAACTTCAAAAGATGGATGTAGAGAGGAAAACTTTCATTGATGAGACCGAAAAGGTAATGGAGCAGGTTTCACCCTCCAGTTGGGCCTTAATGGAAGGCTTGATCATATCAGCAAAACAACGTTTGCGAGATGGTTTAATTAAGGGTTGCCATCGGGCAGTCCAAAGGTTATTGATGTTCGAAATAACAATTATGTTATTTCAGCTCATTCCTGACGTACGAAATACAATATTAAACAAAATAAGAGATAATGATTTTAGAACATGGTACGAGTTGGTGGTTACAAAATCCAGCAAGTTCTTTGATCTTCGAGATCTATGGGGAGAAAGAATAGAGTTTCCCAAAAACTCTAAAGTTGCATCATTGCGAATCTACCCATATCCTCTTGATAAGAATGCTCCATTCATTAGTATACATTACAAGGCTTGGGATTATGGAATGGTACATGATTTCTATGAATTCCCTACTCCTAATGACTCTTTCTTTCCAAGACTTACAAAGTTCCAGCAGTACGCATTCAATAAGGTTCAAAAATATTGTGATGACAAAAAAGACGAATTTCAGTTAAGAGTAAAGGTACAATGTGCTAATATCGAAGTTAAAGAAGGAAAAGTTAGTCCCCCGCATTACTTGATAATATTTGGAGAGGTTAGGTGTTGCAACGATCCCATACTAATTCGTCAGAAGACTGTTAGAAATCCAACTGAAGCAAGAGCACTGGGATTTTTCTACATTTCACAATACCTTAACGATTTTATAAAAAGGAAAGAAATTCCTCTTATCATGTTTCATGTTGGTAACACAACAATTGTGGCACCTAACGAGATGGAAGAATATTTAGTAGATGGCATAAACAACACTGAGTCAATCTACAAATATTTAAAAGATATCGAAAGTGGAAAGTTTATGTCATTTGAAGGCTACGAGTATCTATTTGAAGCATTCATGAGTTGGGATGAAGAGTATGCAGCCAGATGTGTTGCAGACCTTTGTAGAGAGAATCCTATGTACGAAGACAGTAAAGATAGTGATGGAGGCCTACAAGAGATGATGATGGATGAAATTATGAATTCTTGAGCCCACACCAGCAATAATTTAAGGCATCTTTACTGTAGCCACGTTTTATTAATTGTTTCTGTCTTAAAGTATTTTTGTAAAAAGCAATGGTGTAGAATTGCTTGCTGAGTCAGGATAAGGATCCTATGTAACTTTGCTTCCCTATATAAAGGGACTTAGGCCAAGAAGTGAAGGCAGAGTTAGAAGATTTAGCTAGAGAATTACTGTGGAATATTTAGAGAGTCCTCTAGAGAAAAATACTCACCTTAAGAGAAAGATTGGTTCTCCATCTCTCTTAAAGTAGAGAAAACTCTAGTTCAGCTTATGTCTGTTTAAGCTTTCAATTTGTGTGTGTGTGTGTGTGTTGTAATATATGAGTGTTGTAATCTTTTCAAATTAAATAAAATTTTCGTTCAAGAAGGGAACGTTATCCCCTTGAACCTTATATATCAAATGAGTTATCTTTCTATTTAAAAATTTCCATCCCAAACACAGTAAGGATTGTTTCATTAGAGACTACGGTCTAAGGTAGGAAATGAATTAGATCTGTGCTAAGCCTAATCTAAGGAAGACAAGGTTGGGGTTAGCTACCTTGGTAAAGCCGGAAGCTCAGAACGCCGGAGGTTCCATTGTCGACTAAGTTCAGGTATTGGTCAAAACTCTCTAGTTAAAGAATTATTTTTGCGAAGCATGGTGGGCTGTTAAACTGCTTAAATAATTTATTTTAATGTATAAGTAGTAGAGTTGTGATAACTAGTACCGATAAAAGTCATTAATTAAGAAACAAGTAAACAAAAAATTAATAATAGTATATAAACAGGTTCGTTGGTATCAAAGAGGTGTTCGATAGTATCACAAGAAATATCATCTAAGAGATAGTTGGTATCAGAGAAGAGTACCATCTAAGCTTAACTTGGTTGTTGTTGGTATACCATCCACATTAAAAACAATACCAAACAAAAAAGACAAAAGGGTTAGTCGAATACTTCTAAAAGGGTAGGTAAATAGAGGCCAAGAGGACTCTACTTAGTAGAGACCAAGAAAACCCCGGGCTGGGTTAGGGGATTGGCTTTTTTTTTTATTAATTTAATTTTTTTGAACAAATATACTCTTCACACGTGTCAATTATGGTTCCACTAACAGATTTCATCTAAAAATCCGTTAAGTGGTGGTAAAATCAAAATTTTGGGTTTTTATGTGGTGTTATGATAAAAGTTTTTTTTTTTTTTGGGTATTATAATCAAATTTTTGATTTTTTTTGTGGTGTTATTTTCTAAAAATCCAAATTAAAAATATGCAAAATGATATATAGTTGTACAATATGGGGGTGTTTGTTTAGAGGGATACAAGAGGGAGAATAGGATAAAAGATGAGGGATTAAACAAGTCTTTTGTTTGTTTAGAGGGATAGGGATTAAAAGGGGGTTGAGGATAGGGATTATTTATCCTTGTCCCACCTATCAATTCCCTACCGTTATCTTCCTTCCTTATCCCTCGTTTTCCTGTTCTGAATCTTTATCATTCAAATTTAAAAACATTGAAGTTAGAGGTTTGAAGTTTGAGCCTGACGGCGGGTGTTGATTTGATGATATCTATTGATGCACAATTCTTATCAATAACAACTATCTTAAAAAAACTCCAAAATATATTAGACTAGATGAAGCCCGTGCAATGCACGGTTTGTTTGAATTTTTTTTAATTTATGTGCTAAAATTGGTTATATATTTAGATAAAATTCCTAATGTCTAAAAAAAAATTTATATTTAATTAATTTAAATTTAAAAATCTCATTCGCCAATTTTGCTTACGTGCATGGCTCACTAAGAAATTAGATCTAAAATGGCTCTCTAAAAACTCGGGAAAAAACTCCCCTTTATATATATACTAGTTTTGTGCCCCGTGCGATGCGCGGGTTGTTTATAGACTTTTAAGATAAAAGTATATTATGATTCAATTTAATTGAAAATAGAATTCTAAATTAACTTTTTTTTTGCTACAAAGTCTATCTATGTTTATCCAACGTGGTACGACACTTGTGTGTGAAAAATTAAAACACTAAATGATGTTATATTGTGGCCTAATTATAAGTTTATTATTTGGTATTTTATCGAAAATAAAATTCTAAACTAACAATCTTATTCTAAATTAACTTTTTATCTTATGAAGTCTATCCAAATATATCCAAGATGGTGCGACACTTGGCGATTTTTATGTATGAAGTCTATTAAAATCTATCAAAGGTGGCTTGGCAAAAAGTTGGAATGCCAAGTGTCGCTATTTCGTGACTTGGTTAAAAGTTTAGCTTTATATATTAGTTATATGATATTAGATTCTTATCAATTTTGTACTTGTTCATCGGTAAAACTTTTACTTCGTATTGTTACTTGAATTTTTTTTTTTTTTTTTTTTTTTTTTGTGTATATCCTAGCGAGTCACTGTTGGTGTTTTCATGCAGAATTATACTTCTAGAATTTAGTATGGGCAGCTGTACCGTTTTAGTAAAAGATAAACACTATCTCCATTTTTTCAAATTATTATGACCTAGTGTCTTTACCGTAATTGCCTATGTTTATTGTATGGTAGTCAATAATTTAAAGTCAATAATTTTATAGTAATTTTTTTTAATAGATTTTATAGTAATATTATGTTGAATAATTCTTAATTTTTCTTAAGTATTAACACTAGGTCATAAGGTGCAGTTTAAAGGACACAATTACCTAACCCCCGATTATATAATACGTAGTACGAAATAGAGATGTTGGAGAATTTAGAAGAAACAAAGGAGTGAAATTGAGTTCTCATGTTCTCTTCCTGATGATATCCTGGCCAATATACAATAAACCTCTCAGACACTGCATGTTTTCATAAAATTTAATGTGAAACAGGCCCTTTCATTTTTCGTTTTTTGATACTAGCTATATTATATAGAGTCAACACTAATAAATAATTACTCTAAACCTTATTAAATAAGTTATGATGGAGCTCTTACAAATTATGTCATATGAAAAAGTATTCTTTGGGTAAGGTAAGAGTTCATAAAAACTAGTGGAGTATGTATTCAACTTTGAGGTTTAAACTTTATAATCTAAACGTATTTTTCACAATATTCATTAAAGGTATACACAAACTAAATATTTTTTTGTATTATAAACTGTTTATAAAAATCAATTGAAACAACTTTTAGGTTGAACATTTCCAAAAGTTGATCCCTCACAATTGTTACAAAAAGAAGAAGCTTGCTTGTTCTTGTGAGTCAACTTTATATTCTTCAATTTTATTCCCAAACAACGATGCTTTGGGCTACAATCAAATTTCACAGCAATTGACGTTGTTGATGATCCATGGATATCGTCATATGTTACGTTACTTATTCTTACTCCAGAAACCTATTCACAAAAAATAAGAAAAATCATTTTATAAGATTTAAAATAAAAAATTTAAATAAGATTTTGAACATAAAAATATAGTCTAATATACCTCTCCAGGACAATCCTTATGATTGGAGCAATATTTTTGGTCGATGATAATTGGATTTTGAGCATTCTCCATTGTGAGATGCTGAAACACAACATCACTGACAAATCCATCACTTGGTCTTCCCCAAGACTTAATTCTCACTCCATTATCTATATTAATAAAAGTTGACGTTTGTACCGTGACATTGTGAACTTTTGCCTCATGTAACGTTTTTCCTAAACTCCCAATACTTATACAATGACCGGGACCACATGTGATATCTTGAATCCACAAATATTTAGTTCCCGATCCAATTGAGATATAATCATCTCCTGCAGCAATGTTCGAACTCGATATTGTAATATCAATTGATGATTGTACATGAATACCATCGGTGTTAGGACTATGGCCCGAGGCAAAAATCGTAACCCCTTGCACTTTCACGTTTTGACAATCATCAATAACAATATGGTACAATTGACTGTCTAATGAGTTTATACCATTTATTTCAATATTTTGGGAATTGTTATTTCGGATGATATACTACAAGAGGGGGGGTGAATTGTAGTATGTTCCTAGTGCCTACTTTTCGCAGAATATAAAACTGATTGCTGTTAGGAACTTAGACAATGCAAAGCGGATTTTACGAGGAAACCATCCAGGGCCCAACTGGAAGTAAAACCTCGACCTACCTTAGGGATTTCAAACACAAACTACTTCACTATAATAGGGAAAAAACCAAGTTACAACCTATTAAACACGGACCTTTATTTTACAAGTTCCTTACTGGACTTGCTACTTGATAGGACCCTATCCTACCCAATCTAAGTACCACACTTAGATTCACTCGTACCACCAACGTACTACACGTACTGCCAAAGTACAAAATACTTGTACCACCTAAGTACAAAACTCACAGCTTCACCTAGAAGCTTACAAATTGCACTCTTACAATTATAACGAGAATCCTCACGAACTCTCACACCCCAATACATAAAACACTCAAAACCCTTTTCCCCAATTACAAGCTCTCAAAGAATAACTCTAAATACATACCAATGAATAAAGAGATAAAACTAATATGCTGGACACTTCAAGATATGTCTGGAACTTACTGGACGAACTGTAACTGGAACTTGACTGGAACTTTGACCTGGAGGTTTGACTTAGCTTTGTGGTGAAGGATGAAACCATTAAGCACGACCACTAAGCTTCATCAGCCTCAACTTTGAATGAATACATATGAGCATATTTATAGTACACCAAAATTATTCTTTTCGTAAAAGATAAGTTTTATTAAAAGATAGAAATAAAAGATATTTTCCAAAAATAAGTTTTCCAAAAATATATCTTTTGTTAAGAATATATTCAATCAATAATAATAAGATATATTTACCATAAAATCAGATTTTATCTAAATCTTATATTTTCCAAATATACTAATATATCTTACCATATCTTTTTACAAAAGATATAATCACCATATCATTTAACAAAAGATATAATTGCCATAAAATTAGATTTTATTTAAAACTTATTTTGCTGAAAATATTTTCCAAAAATAACTTATCTTTTTCCAGAAGGATTTATTAGAAAATAAATATCTTTATTCTGTATAACCAAATCCTTAAAAGATATGCACGTGGTAGATAAATATATATCATTAAATTCGACCTGCGACCTTTAACGACGTGCAGACGTAAGTTCCAATTAGGTTTTGGAACTCTAACAGTCTCTGAGTTCCTGACAAGTCAGTAACTCTAATTTCATTGACTATCATCAGTTCACCTTGGTTCTTTAGACTTGTTATAGACTGACTTTTATGTCCAACATACTTACATGAATCCTAGAGTGATATACTTCAATTTCTTCGTCTTCATGTTGTTTCTTTGAAACTCTTGTTCTGAAATCTTGTAGTATTGATGTATTCTAGTTCTCGGGGCAAGTTCCTGTTAGGGAACTTAGATAGTTCTTGTTAGAGAACTAAGTTCCTGTTAGGGAACATGCTCCAGCTTTCGTGGGAAAGCCTGCCGAAAGTTCCTTCTAGATCTTGTTAGAGAATACCTTCAGGTTCCTTCGTGGTTTGGCTCTCATGGGAGAACCTGCTTTAGGTTCATTCATTCTCTCTTGTTCCTCTTGAGGTCTTCTATGTTCCAACCCATTGACTTCACCTAAGTTAGTTCCTGTCTTCACATAAACACTTAAGAGAAACATTAGATTGAAGTTTGTTTGTCATAAACAAACTTCAAGTGAGAGAACTAATTAAACTTAAATCTTATGTAAATACTCCTACACATATATAGCTCATGTATGCATAGTGTACTTACCTCATGAAGCTAACTTATGCAAACACCTATTTACATAGTTACCTTCATGGTTCCTTAGCCATCATCATGCTTATAAACCATAACACTCATCATTGTTCTTGTTCTTCTATTGCTTATCATATACTGCTTAAGTTCCTTATATACTTGTCATTGCTCAGGTTCCTTGTATCATGTTCCAAGTATAACTTGTTCTTTCTATGCACAACTTAACAAACACGTTAGATAGATAATCATCATTAGTTTACAATCATCAAAACCTAATTACTCAACAAGAATTTACAAAACCTAAACTCTGCAATTCGAAAAAAAAAAAATCGTTGTATTAATATAAAAAAACACAGATTAATATATTCTATAGATTGATAAAAATTAATAAATCAGTTTAATATTTTAAAGCATGTAATAATAAAATGAAAGATAAAAAGGTTATTTTTCATTAAAATAGATAGGGTTATGTTTAACTAATTAAATATTAATTTGCGGAAAAAAATAAATTCATAATCACAAGCTCTTTAGAATAAGTTAATAAGACAACATTAACACAATAAAATACCACGGAGTACAGTATATGACTATTTATCGGAATAACAACCCCAAATCCTAATAATTCTAGAAGGTAAAAGATAAAATAAAACTAATTAAATTTTTTTAATATAATTCTTTTAAATTTAAATATTAATTTGTGTGGCCCTAACGTCTTTTTAATTTAAGTACATTTTGAGTACTATGTCGAGTTACATAATAATAGGTACGTACTAGTTAAATTTGAGCATTACTTTATGTAGAAAATAAATAACTTACTTCCACACCACGAGGACATGCTTCTTTTCCAGATCGCTTACAATTCCATAACTTAGCTCCTGCTGCGTCAAACACTCCACCAGAAAGTGTAAGGCCATTGACGTTTTGAGTACTATGTCGAGTTACATAATATAGATGTTGGATACTAGTTACATAAGCATACAAACACATATGAAGTACAATTTATGATTATGGATAATATTATTTTTAGTATAGATGATTTGATAAATTTCCATAAGATTCTAATCATATATCCTTTTTTTTTTAATCAGTAATCTAGTTTTCCTATAAAATGATAAGAAATATATATATATATATATATATATATAGGGGAGGGATCCGGTAAGAACCCCTCCTTATATAAGAACCTAGTATATATAAGAACCAATCTAATCCGTAGGATTAGATTGTAATAGACGCTCCAGATTAAAGGAATGTTAGTAATGGCATTATAGTAAATATGAAAACAGACCACCACCATATATAAACCCCAAATTTTCTCTCTCCTCAACCATAACCCACACTTTATAAAGTTTCTACTTACTACCTCACTCTCTCTCCTAAAACCCCCAAATTCTCTCCAAAAATCACGAAATTCTGATTTGATTTTTGTGATTTTTCTGATTTTAGCATGATTTCAAGTCGATTTTTTATTTTTCTCATTTGATTTTCATTAATTTTCGGCGATTTTAGTGTTCAAATTTCAGTGATTTTAGGGCTGGAATTTTTAGCGGAGTTAGGGTTCGAATTTTAGCAATTTTAGTGTTCGAATTTCAGCGATATTAGGTAATTTCAGCACTACTTGATTATTTCTTGTTTGTTTTTTTTTTTTTGCTGCGATTCTTTTTGGTTTTTTTGGCTTCATTTTAGTAGTATTTCGATTATATTGCTACCTCTGTATTCAATCTTTTATTGAATAGTCTATGTTTTCAGTTTTTTTGATGACTTATTGTATGTCTATTATGTTTTGCAACTAATTATGTAATTTCGGAATTTCTAAATGAATTAATTGACTTTTGTGAATTGTAAATTAGCTTAGGATGTTCTAAACTCTATCTCATAATGTTCTAAACTCTTTTTCCTTATGTTCTAAGTTAGTGATACCTCTTATTGCGTTCTTAATTGTTAGTGATATCATTGGTTGGTTGGCCTTTAGATGGATGAATTAGTGCTTTCGTTAGATTGATTGATTGACATATATTATCTTTGAGGGAAAACTTGGGGACTGAGGAGAAAGAGAGAGGGAAGGAGGGGTGGGAGGATTATGCTGGCTAGCTGGGCATTATTAATGAGTTCAAAGGCTTAAAATAGGTGGATGAACTTATAGTCTTATACCATGCTTATGAGTTATGAATTTATGATGTTGCAAACTTAACTGTCTCAAGATGAATTGTAGATGTCTGGCAAGTTAGGATGGTTTTGTATACATGATGGGGGCAATTTAACTTGATACAATGTGGCCATATCAATGCCAATGTAGCTTTCTAGTATGATAATTATCGATTTTAAAGTAGAAGTAGCTGTTGTCAAAATTAGTGGAGTATTGGGTGGGCCCCCTTTGGTTTGAGAAATTGTAAAATGTGAAGGGAGGAACACAGGCAAAGCTTTAGAACATAGGAAAAATAGTTTAATTTAGAACATGAGAGAAAATTTTAGAACATAGGCAAAAAAATTTAGAACATAAAAAAAGGTTTAGAACATAAGAAAGATAGTTTCGAACATGAGAGAAAATTTTAGAACATAGGCAAAAAAAAATTAGAACATAAGAAAGGGTTTAGAACGAACATAGGTAAAATAATTTAGAATATGAGAGAAAAATTTAGAACATAGGCAAAAAAATTTAGAACATAAGAAAAGGTTTAGAACATAGAAAGATAGTTTAGAGCATGAGAGAAAATTTCACAAGAAAAATTTTAGAACATAAGAAAAGGTTTAGAACATAGAAAGATACTTTAGAACACAAGAAAAAAATTAGAACATAGGGTAAATAATTTAGAACATTAGAAAACTAATTTAGAACATAAGGAGATTACTTTTACTGATTTAGAACATAGGCAGAAAACTTTACTGCTAGTGAGGGATGTGGATTGGAGATGCGGTGTAGGATAAGAGAGGGAGTGGTGAAGGTTAAGTGGCTGAGCAGCAGGGTAGAACATAGGTAAAAGAGTGGTGAAGGAGCAAATGTTTTGAACATAGGAAAAAATTTAAAGCACATGTTTAGAACATAGGTAAAACAAAATTTTAGAACACAGGCTTTAAAAAATTTAAAACATAGAAAAAAAATTAGAGTACAGGTTTAGATTATAGGAAAAAATTTAAAGCACATGTTTTAAATACAGGAAAACATTTAGAACATAGACAATAAATTAATTTAGAACATTGAAAATTTAGAGCACTAGTTTAGAACATAGGCAGTAGGAAATTTAGAACATAGGAAAAATAATTAGATCATAGACAAAAGAATTTAGAACATAGGAAAATAAACTTTAGAACATAGGTAGAAAAAATTTAGAAAAAAAAAAAAAACTTTAGAACATAAATAGACTAAATTTAGAACATAGGAAAAAAAAACTTTAGAATATAAATGGACTAAATTTAGAACATAGGATTAGCCAAAAAAAAAAAATTAGAACATACTTCGTATATGATTATACGAATCTATTTTATATTCTCAGTCATGGTTATTGTATCTAGCAATTTTTAGTTAACTTTACTACTTATAAATCATAAAAATCATTGATAGAAACATGAAAGACAACAAGGTCAAGGAAATTTAGAAAATTCTGAAAAATATCAGCAAAAAATAACAATTTATTATTATTACTAAAGAAGAAAAAGGCAATTTAGAACATAGGAAAACTCTCAAAACATAGATTTAGAACATTAGGGAATTTTTTTTTTAAGAAAATATTCTGAACATTTTTTAGAAAATTGAAAAAAAGCTTAGAACATAGGGTTGAATTACAGTACATTATTTAATCGTTGGGCATGCTAAAACCTATTAGCTCAAGTGGTAGAGCACTATGCAAATGCATAGAGATGTAGGTTCGATTCCTACATAGGTTATCAGCGTCATGCGATAATTCCACCGAAAGTTAAAATTTTTGGTTGGCGCGTTCTTCACAATGGGGTGCCTGTTCGGAGCTATTTAGCTAAACGGGGTATATGTAGTGATGATATTTGTCAAGTTTGTGGTGATGCTCTTGATTCTCTTATGTTAGACATGGTCTTACAATTGTTGTTGAGGCAGGCTTGTAGAATATTGAACTTGAAACTGATTTGCTGAAGTTGTACTCCCACCTGCAGAACAACATCGGAGAAATTTCGCCCTTTGGTCTGAATGTGAACGATATTTTGTGCATTGCTAATTCTTGTTCTTCTTTTTCTGTCAGCCATGTAGGGAGGGAAGGGAATAGGGTGGCACATAAGCTTGCCCAATCTAGTAATGAGTTTGATTGTACGAGAGTCTGGATTCAGGAGCTCCCTGCGATTTTCCTCTGTCAAACTGGTGTAATTTACTTGATAATACTTCCTAGTAGTAGTTGTGTTGGGTAATTTGTTAGCATGTGTTGGGTAATTTGTGAGCTATGGTGGTTGTTGTAGTAATAATGGAGGCATTTGAGTTTCTACATGTGATTGTTTTCCTCTACTTCTATGGGAGGGCGTTGATCTATATCAAAAACCTATTAGCTCAAGTGGTAGAGCACTATGCAAATGCATAGATGATGTAGGTTCGAATCCTACATAGGCTATATTTATAAATAACTATATTAAAAAAAACTTTAGAACATAGGAAAAAAAAACATTAGAACATAAGTAGACTGAATTTAGAATATAGGTAGTAAAAATTTAGAACATAGGAAAAAAAAACATTAGAACATAAGTAGACTGAATTAGGCAAAAGAATTTATAATATAGATAGAAAAAATTTGAACATAGGAAAAAAAAAACTTTAGAACATAACTAGACTGAATTTAGAACATAGGCAAAAGAATTTAGAACATAGGTAAACGAATATTTAGAACATAGGAAAAAAAAAACTCTAGAACATAAGTAGAAAAAATTAGAACATAGGTTGAAAAAGTTTAGAATATAGGAAAAAAAAACTTTAGAACATAAGTAGACTAAATTTAGAACATAGGAAAAAAAAATTTAGAACATAGGTAAAAGAATATTTAGAACATTAAAAAAAAAAACTTTAAAACATAGGTAGTAAAAATTTAGAACATAGGGAAAAAAAAACTTTAGAACATAAGGGATCATAAGAGTCTTAGAAGTGGTTGAGGAAATATAAGTTGACTTTGATAGAAGAAATTGGATTTAAATACATTGAGAAAAGAGAATGGAGGAAATAGATCATGGATGATGATCAGTACTTCAGTAAAATGAAATCTCGGTTCATGTAGCTGACTCGTTTTTTTTCCTTATGTTCTAAATTTTTTCCTATGTTTTAAATTTGTTTTTCCTATGTTCTAAATTTTTTATTTATGTTCTAAAGTTTTCCTATGTTTTAAAATTTTTTTCTGCTTATGTTCTAAATTTTTTGCTATGTTCTAAATCTTCTCATGTGTTTTAAAATTTTAAGCTTATTTTCTAAATTTTTTCAGCTTATGTTCTAAATTTTCTTTTTTTCTGCTTATGTTCTAAATTTTTTGTTTTTGCTTATGTTTAAAATTTTCTTTTTCTGCTTATGTTCTAAATTAAATATTTTTCCTATGTTCTATATTTTTTTCAAGCTTATGTTCTAAAGTTTTTCCTATATTCTAAATGTTTTTCCTTTGTTCTAAACTTTTTTTTTGCTTATGTTCTAAAGTTTTTCCATGTTCTAAATATTTTTTTTCTTTGTTCTAAATTTTTTATATTTATGTTTTATATTTTTTTCCTATATTCTAAATATTTTATTTTTCTTGATGTTTTAAATTTTTTTTGCTTATGTTCTAAATTTTTGTCCTATGTTCTAAATTTTTTCCCCTATGTTCTAAATGTTTCGTGCTTATGTATAATAGTCTCACCCAAACGAAAAAAGTAGCAGGCTTAAACACACGCTGAGCATACTCTATATAATCAGCCAGCATCTTTAAGTAATATACAGCAACCTGAATAGGATCAGACACGAGTCCTTGATGCAAACATAGAACCAAGATGCCTAAGCCAGCATATACAAAACTGTTAAGCTCCTTTTTGCCAATCCTATCAGTCACCCACATGAGACGCTAAAAAAACTAGAGGTTGGAGAATCAACTAACAGCCCCACATACTCACTCTGAGCCCATATTACAACAACATCATGGTACTCAAAAATAGCATGTAAATAGTCTCACTAGCAGCCCCACATCCCTGGCACACGCTATTAGCAGCAATATGGGGATGGTAAACCTCTTTTTCATAGCAATACTACCCTTACAAGCCCTCAAGACGAAGTGTCGTAGTTTAAGTAGTCTTTCCATACCCCAAACCAGCTTCCATAAGCCTTTCACCTTGTTTCCATGGAGTGTATACCACGCTTGACTTTAGTTCAGATGGTGAAGGACTGTTCCACTTTGTTACAGCTAAACTCTCATACAAACTCTCGTCTCGATATTATACAAATGAACCTACGTGGGATTCGAACCCACATCTTTTGTGCATTTGCACAATGCTCTACCCATTGAGCTACTAGGCTAATGTATATAAAACATTTGTACCCAAACCTTCACTTACACTACACTAAACTGCCTCACTAACACAATTGGAACAACACTTATTCAAAATGATGTTGTAAAATATAATACGACTGTTGAACAATATGAGTCACTTAAAAGGATATGAAAGCCCCAAATTTCCTACAAATCAAAGCTTAAGAAGTCAATAGGTATTGTCAATAGTAGCACATCATTTTCTCCGATGCATGACATACTAGGAAAAGGTTATAGCAAACGAAAAAGGTACAACTACGTCAACTAGACTACCTAACCCGTATTAAGACTCATGATTACATTATTTAATATCCAAAAGATTTTGTAGCAGATGGTGTATAAGTAGACAATTTAAACAGGTTGTACAAACAAATGCCAAGAAACAAGGATTGCCCTTCCTTTATTTAATCAAAAATTTGGTGGACAACTAACACATAGCTATAGGCATCAAGTATGCATAAAAAACATGCCAGCCAAGAAGAAAAGGCCAAACCTCTTATCTTATGCTGGGATTAATAACCTGCATCAAGAAATTTCAAACAAAATTGAGAAATACTACGTACATTTGGAGATGACATTTCAACCTGAAGTGCAATAATATTCTACTCCAAAAAACACCATACTATCCACTAGTTTCTTTCAATCAGTACATGAAAAATGAAGATCACTAACAATTAAGAAGACAACAAGAGGATATCACTAATTTAGAACATGCTGACATACAAATCGCAAAAATCAAGGAAAAATTTGAGAAAAAATCGCATAAAAACGCAGCAAAATCACATCAAAATTGCAGCAAAAAATTGCAACAACATCGCATAAAACAAATTAAATTCTTCGAAATTATTGGAGTATAAGTTACCTTTGCATTTCAGAACAAATTGTTGTACGAATTTATTGTTCTTCGTCTCCGTCCATTCAATTTTTCTTCGATTTCCGTCAAACTAGGTTTCGAATTTGCAAAATTTCTACTTAAATTTCTCAATTCAACTAGTTTATGCAACTTAATGAACAAATTTAGCTGAATTTGAGCAAAAAGTAGAAGAAAATCGTTGTAATTTGCTTCAATTAGGAGCGATTACGGTGGATTTCTGAGAAGTTTGGGGGTTTTAAGAGAGAGAAAGTGGTGGGAAGTGTGAAATGTGTTTGAGAAGTGTGAAAGATACGTGAAAGAGGAAGATGAGAGGAGGTGTATGTATGACGCATGAAATTACAAAAATGCCATTACTATGGCTGTATTTAGGACAGTTAGATCAAAACTAATAAACGGCTGAGATTGGTTCTTATATAAGATTGGGTTCTTATATAGAGGAGGGTTCTTACATGAGCCTTCCTCTATATATATATATATATATATATATATATATATATATATATATATATATATATATATATTATTTATCTCGCCCGTTGATTCTATTTTTTACCTTTAATCATTATGTGTGCAAATATCTAAAGTATTAAAACTAGGTCATAACTCAAATAGGGTTTTAGGAGAACTGACAAGACCCGTTCAAAAAAAAAAATTAATAAATAAATAAAATAAAGGAGAATTGACAAGAAACAAGGCTGAGAAGTAAAAACGATTTAATAAACCTATTCACTTCTAATTGGTTATCATGCTCTATATTCGGAATTGGCTAATTTATGTATGTTGTTGAACTATCTGAGTACTAAGAAATTTGCTAGTGCAGCCACAATTGCTACATATATGTATATACAACAGTGACTGCACAAGCCAAGTAGTCTATTGAATTTAATTAAGAAATATCAAAGTTATACATCTTTTGTTTCAGGGAATTGTTCTTTTAGTCTTCTATAAGTGATCGATCGAGAGCAAATTTGGTGGCGATTGATCAAATCTGTAGTATGCAATTGACAAACCCATTTGATCGAGAGCTTTATTTGATGCTTGGCTTCCTGGCATATCATATTGATTAAAAACATTGTAATCTACTTTTCGTATTTCATGCAGAATTATATTTTTATAGTTTAGATATGTATTAGAAAAGGTAAACACATCATTAGTTATTTGATTTGCGTAGTACTCCATCTATTTCAAAATACCCCGATTTAATTGGCATATTTGCTAATTTAATGCAAAACTTTGACTAATGGTATCTTAATTTAATTATTAACTCGGGAATGCCTCGGGCGATGCACGGGATATAATGGACATTGGACTTTGGTTGGAGACATAACTACTTGTCTATTTTTATTAGATACTTTATCACTACCTCTATTTTTTTATAAGCTAGAGTCAAATTTATACATTTGTCAAAACATAACTTTGACCATTAATATCTGTAGGGAATATTTCAAGCATTAATCCCCTAGCTTGAACCCCAGTGTGATCATACACTAAAGTACAGTGGCGTCCAAAAGGGAAGAAGATAGAGCAAAAGAGTCGCCAACAAGTTTTAGAAACTTGTAAACCGTTCACGAGGTGAAGGTTACACCCCTTAACAATCCAAGAGATCGTCAACTCCATAAGGTCTTGAACCAAATAAGGGTTCAGGGATGAAGGTACAAATCCAACCTAAAAGAGATTGAACCTGCCCTAATAATAGGCCTCTACTTTATTCTGATCGTATTCATGTGCGCTTTCTGACTAACATGCAATCAATGAGATTAACCTTAAACCTGTTTATCTATGTTGGTTGAATTTAATGCACAAATAAACTATTATTGGCGATCACTTGAATTATAATCAAATTAACCCTAAACAAGATTATTAATTATCTTATTAAGAGTGATTACAAGTACCAATTCCCTTAAACATGCATAAAAGGCGTGATCAAGCAATAAAACCATCAAGCAGCATAATAAATAATCATCATAATAATTATAAAAATAATCATAATAATAATAATAATTAAAATAATCATGATCATAAATTATAACAATTATAATCTTAATTAACATAATCATGTTAAAGCATAATAATAATAGCAAGATCCTAGGCATGATACTAACAAGATTAATAACAAACCCTAGCATGTCACTAAACAATAAAGATCAAAGCTTTAACCCTAACATGATACTAACATGAATAAATATTAGGAAGAACATAAAAGGCATCATAACAATCATATTTAATATTAAAGTTACCTTAGACATGATACTAGGAATATCATAATAACAATCTAAACATGATTCCTATATTATAATAAAAACCATTAAAATACTTACTTCGATGTCTCGTACCTCTTTCTAATAACAAAATACACACGTTAGTAACTTCAAGGAAAATAATAAAACAATTAAATTAAATAATAATTGAAATAGAGATTAGGGACTAAACCCTTTGAAATTAAACCTTTCACGTCTAGGGCGAAGGCAACTTCGAATATGGCTAGGTGTATCTAAATCTAATGAATGCGGAATTTTTATATTTGTGAGAAGGCTAGTTTAGAAAAGAGAGAGAGAGAGAGAGAGAGAGAGAGAGAGAGAGAGAGAGAGTAATCAAGAGAATCTTGATGAGAGTTGGTGAGTATTAGAAAGAATAAGAATTGATGAGAACTCGTGAATGAAAACGGAGTTTTTACGACATTATTTATAAAGAAAATTAGCCAAAAGGACAAAATATCAAAACAGAGTTCTGACGCAAAAAAACTAAGTTGGCGCCAAACGCTGACCTTGGCGCCAGACGCTAAGGCTAGCGCCAGGCGCCAAGCGTAGCGCCAGGCGCTACAGCTGGCGTTTGACACTGACTTAGAAATTCACGCGTTTTCTTAAAATCAGATAGAAATTACCGTACATGAGGATAAAATCGTATTTTTCCTCAAAATGTTCTTTGATTCTAATTAAACTCTGAAAAGTCAACAAAAGTCAATTTATCAATGCTAATTGAATTAGGAATGAAAAGAACCTTCTAGAAGAATCTAGAAGACTAAAATCATTCCTAATTGTATTAGGAATGACAAATCCATATTAGGCCCTCCTCTATATCATTGGGCCGCACATAAGGCTCAACTCGAGTCCAGTTCAGTAATTTGGCCATAACTTCCTCAATATTCATTGGAATTGGGCTTATAATATATTGTTGGAAAGCTCTTTTCAAGCCCCATCCAACTACACTACTATTGGACCCATATCATGGACCAACCAAATTGGAGTGGCTGTTTTCTTAAAATAGGTTTTCAAAAACAGAGAGAAAAGAAAAGAAATTAAAAATATCCGCAACACTAAAATTTCCACACTTTCACTTCATTTGATTACGATTCGACGTGAAAGGAATTCATCACTGGGTTTGGTTTTGGCGAGACACAAATGGGTGTCTACAATATCTTTTAATAAAAGATTAGTAAAAATTATCAAAAGAAAATATATATATAAAGTAGACATTATGACAAATCCAATAACATATTATATGATTATTTTTTTATATTATGAAAACTAATAAACATAGCCCTAAGCTAAAATGGAAAATTGAGAAAAAAATTAACACTAATAACACCGATTTGCGCGTGATTTTGTCATGAATTCCTAACTTAATTCCATTTTGGGTAGTGTATTTAATGGTTATACAT